TTTTCGAGATGCAATAAAATTTTTCGAGATTAAAAATAGTTAAATGATACGAAAATGTTATTTAGTGTAGACATATTCATATTTAAAGTTAATTTGCTGTTTCTCATGGCATGTATTAAAGTTAAGTTTGAAGAAGAACTTTAAACTTAACTTTAAACGGTTTTCTCAAAACAACAACCTTTTTCACAGTGCGTATGTCTTGAAAATGCTCCATGCGTCTCATTTTTAGTTAAAAATGAATGATTTTTGGAAGAAACTATCTTGTTATATGTTACAGTAGATCTATGTTTGAATTTTTGGATATGAGGTTATTAAGAAGTTTAAACTTGTGATAATGTTAACAAATATTAAACCCAGTTTTCCCGAAAACTGGGTTTAAGTTCACAAAAATCCTTTTTAAAAATTTTTGATCCATCATATTCAATAACGGCTACATAAAAACTTTTGTCAAGTCTTTATAACTAACTTAAAAGAAAAAGTATTGAAAATTAGCGCTCAAGGAGCATTTTAAATCTTTAATTAAAATAATTAATTAGTTGTTAAAAATTTTTCATTTAAAATAAATTGAAATTTTAATCATATATTTTATAAACTGATGTTATAATACGCATATGTATAAAATTTCTTGTTGAAAACACAAAAACTTAAAAAACTAATTTTTAAAGTCCACCGTCCCCTTAAGTGTAATGATTACCTCTTATATAACTGTACTATTATTACTCATTGGCTTACTTATTTATCCCTTAGGATCAAAACCCTTTAGCTTATGCTTAGAACTTCCAAGTACTGCTTCCTTTGTAAGAATTTTTAAAGTCTAAAAGAACCTTCCTTGTGATATTAAAATTCTTAAGGACTTCTTCTGTTTGGGGAGACTTAATAAGCTAATTAAATTATGCAATCAGAGAGAGATACTTGACTTTTCGTGCTTGAAACAAATTCTGAGTCTGTTACTCAAGCAGATCATCAAATGTATCAAAAGAATTTTTGTACTTGAAATGAAGTGGAACTACATTTCCTTGAATCTTTTCTGCAGTTGTCTTATTGAAATGTGCGGTTTATAGCCGTAGATTATTTGTAGTGTCCTGAAAAGTATTCATTTGCTTAGAATTATTATGAAAATTTGTATCTTAATACCAGAACTTTATCGGATTTTCTGAATTTGTTTGCTGTGAAAAATGCAGTGAAACCTGTCTCGAGGACTGCGTGCCTAAGATAACCATCTCTAAAAATGACAGTATCTGTAGAAACATAATTGAAATAATGAAACTAAACATTATCGATAATCATTTTTCATAAGCCGACCACCTCTATAGAAGATCAAAATCGTTCTGAACCTTGTGCAGTCACTTTAAGGAGAGTTCGTCATCTGTCTCTGCATTGGTTCATTTGTTTTAAACTTTAATTACTTTAAATAAAATTACTTAATCATCAAAATTAGATGCATTAAATTTGTTACGTATGCTATCGGTTAAGTTACCTATTGTTGGTAGTAACTCTGTCTCTAGTACCTTATTTTTGCGAATGAATATAAATGTGTATGATATGTATAATTGAATACATCCTCCGTCGTTGTTCATGCAAAATCCTTTGTATATGTTACCGCCAAAGTATAAAAAGGCCAGTATTCTGTAGAATGTCTAGGCATTTTTAAACAACGTATGAAATATGAGAACTATTATATACTCTAGCTAGGCATTGTATGTAATACCTAGGCATTCTATGGAATGACAAATGCACTTTAGGCAATGTTGAAGAGAAGGTCATGATAAGGGTATTATTTAAAAAGACGTTCATTCCTCAAAAATGCAAATGTTGAAAAAATAATGAAAGAATGCCATTGAAAATAGTTTATTCAAAATACATAAAAAGAAATGAAAGTTGTACGAAACAAAATTTATGCCGTTCTTATTATAGAAAACAAAATTTTCATACAAAAGTAAGAAATTAGAATTAACCTATTTGCTGCAATATGGTAGGCTTGAATGACATTTTGAATTCACTTCATTACCTTTTTCACATGAAGACATTTCATGTTTCGGCACATTGTTTTACACATACCCTTGACGAATCCTTGGGCCCACTGGACTAGACAGTTGCAACTGATCAGAGAAAAATTTCATTCTCAGGAATATCTTCAATTTTAAGCAATATCCTAACATAAAATGGACTTTGACCTCGTATATAGTTTATAGAGACATTAGGTTATTTGGAAGCAGGAGATGGGAAAAATCAGCAATGCCTGCGCCGCGACTCGAACTACGGAACTCTCGAATACGCGCCGAGTGTGCTGGCCATTGCACCGCGAAGGCATGCTAAGAAGGCGGGAGAAGTACCTTGCATACTCCCCCTTTTAAAGAGCGAACAGGGATTAAGGAACCCAATCGCCAAATCCTGGTGGTGGAGATTCATTATCCACCACCTTTTTTAGTTCGGGCGCCTCTGTAGAGTTTTTGAATGCGCGCTTTCGAATGCGCGCCGAGCGTGCTGACCACTACGCCACGAAGGCATGCTAAGAAGCCGAGAGAAGTACCTTATGAGTTGTCTGAAAATTCTTTCAGAAGTTCCAAGGCGGTAGAAACTGTCCATACTACTGTGAATGCATAATATTATATCAATGCCCAATTGTATATCGACGTTCACTGTCAGCTATTCTCTTTGGCGATACTGACTTGGCTGTCTATTTCAATTGCATAATGTAAACTATGTTTTGTAGACAAGTTAGATTGTAGTTTGTTACATATCTTTCATACTAAATACAAATGATCTATAAACTGTAAATAGCACAGTACCTTTCGTCAGGTAGAAATAGAGCAAACTATTTTTCCTGTACTTAAACTATTATATCACCTTGTTATTATTTTAAAGATATCCCATCTGCCTTTCATTCCTATTACGCCTTCACATTATATGCTCTTTGCAAAGATGGTTGAAGTTGATCTGAATCTTTTGTGGATGCAACATGTCTATTATTATGCTATTATATCTAATGTATACAATTCTTATACTTAAGAGCTTTCTTAAACTCTTAAGTTACAAGTATAAATCGTTGCTTGTTGTTCGCCAATGTGATCTTTGAAAAATTATGGTGCACCAACCATCTGCTTAGTGAACTATCGAACATTTTGAAAAGGTGTTATTATTTTCATTTTGCGATAAACATCTGTGATGGAAGCAGACTTGGTAATCGAGCGTGAATAAGATCTTTCATATATCTTCGTTATTGCATTGTTGAATATAATGAAAAATTAATAATTAAAATCATTTTATCTGCATTATTTAACAACATCTTTCAGCAATTGCTATTTTATGTCATGAGTGTCATAAACAAAATAAGACTCTTAACATCCTCTAGCAATTTGACTGCAAAAATGTATTCTCTTGTTTAAAAATCGTTTGCTTTAAAAATAATAATCTATTGTTTCTGGATGGATTTCATAGTAACAAATATATAACAAAATTCTTTATATCTATATTTTTTAATTTTGTTCAAACAGTAATAAAATGTACATTTCAGCATTTCGATATTTCCTGTTTATATCATTTTCCATTCAAAAAAGAAACCCTGAAACAAACGGCATAATTTTTTTTTAATTGAAATATATTTTGAGTGCCATCTTAATTGTTATTCAGCAGTAAAGATTAAATTTTATGCAGTGGCAACAGTCGGTGTTGTTTTTATTTAAGAAGAAAAGCGAAATGTCAGTATGATTTTTATACATTTTTAAATATTTTTATGGTTTTTATTTTTAAAATATCTTTAATGATAAACTTCCCATTGAGAAGTTGTTTGCAGTAATCTCAAGTTTTCGAATCATAGTTTTTTAATCTGTTTAAATATTTATTTTGGTACAGAATTACCATTTCCTTTTGAGTTAAAAATCACACTGTTAATGTTCTTCAGATTGAAATTCGATTTTATTTTTAAATCCTTCATTTAATCCTTTATTAATCATCAATAAAAAGAACTGTAAGAATTGTGTTAATTTATTTAACAGTTAAATTTTGAGTTAAAGTTCCTTTCCTATCTTCCTGAATTTCAACTTACAACTTCCGGCCAGAACGTAGTTTTAGAATCGTGTTTGAATGCAAATGAGGAGGAGTATTTAACTGTGAAGTTCAACTTACTTCGTTAGAGAGAACCAGTGATTCTGGCTAGCACGCGTCCGCCTTTTTAGGCTACTCTCTCTTAAGCAATTCTTACGCTCGGCCGTACTTTAGGCCCTTGGTAGCTTCGCCGTTATTCAGCTTTAAGGGGCCAACTCGGTTAGAGTTCTTGATATCTTCTGCTATATCTTTTTAGTTAAGATTAGTTACGTTTTAGTTCTTAGTTTTTTAAGTTCAAGCCCGAGTGGCGGCTTTATTGTAAAACTCCAAGACGGAGTTCTGTTAAACCTTATTGGAATAATAAAGGGTAGTTTCACCCTTCTTACGTGTTGTCTCTACTCGCGAACTCAAGCGATTATGCGCTGATCAGTTCTTAAGATTCTTCAACTTCAACTGTAACTTAAAAGTACACAGGACAGGATTTTACATTATCTTATCAGAAAGAATAAGAATAATAAAAAAAAATTATAAAATTATTTCTTAAAAAAGAATCTTACCGTATCTTCAACAACCATTTTCGTAATTAATGAGTCAAAAAATATCTTAAAAATCTGACAATGCAAATTGTTATAATATTTATACCTTCTTCTACAGAAGAATTTAATATTATCATAAATATTGGACAATATATTTTCAAGGCTAAGAAAATGGTGGCATTTTCGTGTTTCGCAATAAATGATTGTATCTGATGACAGAATTTCTCAATAAAAACACGTGTTTATACGTATATTCTGCGTATATGTACCATATTTTATTCTGGTAGTGTACATACATAAAACAGCCTTCTCAGCTACTTTTAATTTATAACCAACTCTGAGATTCTTGATGAAACAGAGCTACGTGCTCTGAATGTCCAATTTTTAGCCATCTCATCTTTTCTTTTTTATCTTTTGCAGGTTACGTGGGGGTTGGGAGCAAGGGCCCTCCTTCCGTCAACAGTTCGAGGTCGGGTTCCCCTCACACCTCCTCCCCCTCCCCCGCCTCCTTCATCCCTCAGCCGAAAGGAACAGCGGCTGCAAGGAGCCTCGACAAAAACAGATCCAGGTATGACAAAGAATTCATTTGTTTTTGTGTTAATATTATAAATAAATCTTCAGAAACATTTGACTTCAATACGTCGCTCATTTGTGAAACTTACTAAAACGAGGGTAATGAGGTTTTGTATGGTGCTCGTTTTCTTTCAAATAAATAACTCTTTCATACATTTCATATTACAAAAACTTTTCTTTTTACGTAATTTTAGGAAGTAAACTATTAATTTCTTATCTTCTTGTGAGGGTTAAAATTGTGGACTACGGGCCTCTATAGAGGCTGTTCGCACATTTTTAGACGATCTTGCTTTGCTATAAAAAATCGTCTGCTTGGAAATCTTTTCATGACTCCAACTATATTTTTGAAAGGGTAAATTATCGTCTGTTTACTTCACAGTTTTGTTTTCATGCAGAATGCCGCTTTTATAGAAGCAATAGACGGAAGGCTATGTTTATGCTCTTTTCGAAGAAAATTATTCGTATCTGGTTATTAAAAAATGCTATGAAAGCCATGATTTTTCGGTATCTAAAGCAACGATAGATAATATTGTCAATAAGAAAATAAAAAACCGTCAAAGTTTGGCTTCAAGGAGAAAAATTGTTGAAAATACATATCCAAGGTAAAAACGGAATGTTGCAAATGGTAAGAAATTTGATATTGAAAAAAAAATCTTTGAAGTTAAAAGACAGTTGCATAATCATTAAAATGCTCAGTACCAACTGTACACAAAATGATTAATGCTGATTTGAATCTTAAAAAGGCGAAACACTTAAAGTACATCATCTTTCTCCACGACGTACATCGAAAGCAGAACCACATACAGAATTCTCTATGAGAAATAATTATTCAGGCAAAAATGGAAACGTGTTGTCACAGTAGAAAAATCTTAGGTATATTTAAATGAACGCAATAAAAGCAGATCCATTTATTATCATCAAAGAGGAGAAAAAAGTCTTAGAACATGGTTTAAAGAATCTAAAGAAAGATTTTTCAAAGGGATTTATGATTATTACTTGTTTTAATATCACGATAAATTAAAAAAAAAAAAAGAAGGGAGAAAAATGTTATGATCAACTCCACATATTATCAGGAACATATTTTATATCCAGTTTTCAAATATGAAATGCCTTCTCTTTCTTTACCCATAGTGCCATCAATCCGTACAACTGCATCAAGACAAAGCAACCAGCCGCATGTCAAAATTTACTGTTAATTTCCTAGAAAAAAATAGAACAAGAAACGTGTATGCCCGTATGCCTATACCCATCACGCATATCCCTACTAAATCTTATGGTGTATCATCCACCGATTTTTGCACTTTTTGATCTTTTAAGTTGTCCAAACGTCGACCTAGAAACTCTCCTTGGACTTTGGAAAGCTGTTCAAGAGGAATGGAATAAAATATCTCTATCGCTATTGAAAAAAAAAAAAAATGCTTTATTGTCTTTAAAATTACGGTGTAGAATAGTGAAGAATAAGGGTTAATCAAATGGAGCGTTTAAAACGCCAAAATGTTAGGTAAAATATCTGTAAATACAATGAAAATCGTCTAAAAAGTGTGCGAGTATAGGTAGATATAAAATGAAACTTCTGTGCTACAGACGAATTCTCGTCTTTGCTTTATTATTCTAACCTTCAGTAACCCAAGCAAAAGATGGAACTTAATTAAAAGGTTTAATAAAAATAAAAAATAATAATTAAAAAAAAACTACGGCTTTGTAATGCAAGTAAAAATTAACAAAAACTACCCACCTCTGGTTGCAGAGTTACACAAATTCAAATATTTGTGTAACTCTGCAACCAGAGGTGTAGTGTATACATTACACCAGATAAGTATATACACCAGATAATGTATTAAGTGTATACATTACACCAGATAGCTTTCAGCCATTGCGGTTTTCTAAACCCATCAAACTTCATATACAAAAACACTCACTGAGACCAGATCAGCGCACAATCTGGATGTCTCGGTAATTAGCAGCTTTTATCGAATAGCCACATCTCTTTCTGTAAACTATTAATTTGCTTTGCAGTGATGGCAGAGGGAAAAGTACAAGGTTACAGAAAAATTTAACATAAAAATAACTTGTTACCTAAAAAAAGACACTTACATTGGTAATAAATGTATAATATATCCTCTCAAAATGAGCATTTCAGTTTTTTGTAAAATAGGGAAATATTTTAAGGAAGTAAATTGTTAGTTCAATAACTCGCAAAGGTATTCGCCATTAATATTTTCTCAAGAATCAACTACAAATATAGTAACCAAAACTTTTTTACTCGATACGGAATCGGTAATAACCAAACTAAATAGTTTTTGTTTCGTACTTGCGTCTTAAGTTTAAATCGAAATTTTCGGAAAAATTTCAAAGTGTATATTTTTAATCCAAAATATGCAAATTGAAAGTGATTTTATTTGGCACATTAGCTTACTCAGTTATTGTCTCTTCTTCTGTACTATAACACTGTACTTTTTTTTTTTTTTTTTTTATTTTAAAGCATTGTAATCATGAAAAATTTCGGGTATCATATTTCGGCGAAAATATCCGTTTTGAACGCTGTCGAATCCATCTGAACGATATTTTTGCTTGAAATATTGATGTACGGACAGAATAAAGATATGTACATATATATATATGTATCTCGCGTAACTCAAAAACGAGTAACCTTAGAACGTTGAAATTATGTATATGGGACTGCTATAACATCTAGTTTTGCACCTTCCTGTTTTGTTGTAATCGGCCCCATCAAACGTACATATATACGTAAGTTGGGGCAAAAGTCATGGCAACTATTTTTTTTCTTGTAGATACCAGTCCGGTTGAAAAATGTGACATATACAAAGGAAAGGACAAGGTCTTAACTACATGTGTGGACAATGAATAGCATTGAAATATCGTTAACACACAAATTTATTACGGTAGTATACAGGGCAATATGTCCTTCACCGTGCGAAAGAATGATAACACAATACACATAAAGTTGACATGACAAATCTGGGCCTAAAGATCCTCAATGTAGTCCCCTGCTACTGTCACCACACGCTGCCAACGATGTGGGAGGCGCTGAGAACTATCAACCTCAGCATTTGCCGTACCATGTGTTATAAGGTATTTCTCCCACTTCCCTAGCGTGCCTTCGTGGTGTAACGGTAGCACGCTGGGCCGGTATTCCAGAGGTCCGTCTTTCGATTCCCGGCGAAGGCGGTTGCTAATTTTTCATCTTCCTTGCTTCCAAAAATTACCTAATGTCTCTACAAGTGGCGCGCCCGAACTAAAAAGGTTGTGGATGGTGATTTTCCGCACCCAGGATTTGGCGACTAGGTCCCCTAAAACCCTAGTCGCCCTTTAAAAAGGGGAGTATATAAGGTATTTCTCTCACTTCCCTAGCGTGCCTTCGTGGTGTTACGGTAGCACGCTGGGCCGGTATTCCACAGGTCCGTGGTTTGATTCCCGGCGAAGGCGGTTGCTAATTTTCATCTTCCTTGCTTCCAAAAAATACCTAATGTCTCTACAGTGTGAATCGGGTCATCTGTTGGCGCACAGCATTAGCAATGTCCTCTCGTGTTGCAAACCGCCTACCACGCATTGGTTTCTTAATCTTAGGAATGAGATCAAAGTTACAGGGCGAAAGGTCAGGAGAGTACGGTGGGTACTCCAATTCTTCCCATCTCCAACGTCGGAGTAGCTGCCGTACACACTCTGCTTTATGTGGTCTTGCATTGTCGTGCAGAATTATTGCACTGTCCACAAGATCCGGACGTTTCCCGAACGCCACGTCGTACCTGTCGCACCAGGAAGTCCCTGTAGTATTGTGCGGTCACTGTTCTGCAATAAGGAACAAAGTGGCAAACAATGACACCCCTGACGTCATACGCGACGATCACCATCAATTTGACTGGGGAAGGATTCCGACGGACCGTCTGCTGCCATGGTGATCCAAGATGTCGCCACTCCGCGGACTGACATTTCAGTTATGGTTCGTATGCCCTGGCCCAAAATTCATCGATTATTCGTGACAAGACTTGATCGCCGTCCTGTTGCCAGCGTGCAAAGTGGTCGGAGCATATTACATAGCGCACCCACCTTTGAACTTCCGTCAGTGCATGCGGTACCCACCGCGAAGCGATTTTGCGTAGCTGTAGCTCATTACGCAATATCCTGTGGACGGTGCGTTTCTCGATGTCACTTGCCCTCTCTAACTCCAGTAACGTCCATCGTCTGTCTTGATCCATGAGGTGCTTGATGACGGCACGTGCCAAGTCGGTCCGCACATTCACCGGTCGTCCCGAACGTTGCTCATCACTGGTTGAACATGTCCTTGCTGAAACTTTCCTACCCACCATGCTCTGTACGATATGGTAGGGCATTATTGCCAAAGGCTGCTACTAATTCACTGTGACATTTCATCGCATTTCTCCCTGGGAGAACGGCTATTTTGATATAAGCGTGCTGCTTAACATGGGTTACTTCCATCTCGCACGACACTCACCAACTGACTGATTTCAGAGCCCTCGCTACCACAGAACCAGCTATCACAGAGCCATCTGTTGTTCTGCATACACACTATGCCTGCAGAACTTCCACACGACACATGTACGTTTTGTGATCCGTTCACATATCTACAAGAAAAACATAGTTGCCATGACTTTTACCCCAACCTTCGTATATATTCCTAGACTATTACCCGGCTTGGTAAGATCAGTATTTTTATTCTTATATGTTGATAAATTGTGCATTTTTTGCTTTAAAAGGGGGTTGATTTTTTAGGAGCGCCTAACGAGACCGCCATTTGTTTACTTTTAAAACTCTTAGTAGAATAGTGAATGTAGTCAGCTGGTGCACCAGTGTCTTTGCCCAGTTGAACCAAAAGTTAACTTTCAATATTGTGCACCGAAAATGTTGTCTTCCTGCCCGTTGGCCAAATTGCTTGTAATTGCTTGCCTAATTGTAATTGCAAAAATTGTTTTTTTTTTAAACTGTTTTTAACTTTATTCAGTGTTTAGCGTTTTT